GGATCTTTTTTTGAAAAATAACAACGGTTTTTAAATACACTATCTTATTTCATATTGATTTGTCGTCCGACTGTATGCTGGTTTGAAATGTTTTTGACAACCGGTTCTCTTTTTACGACATTATTTATTGACTTTTTTTAAATATTGATAACTCAATAAAGAAACAAACAGACAACAGTTGGAGGATCAACAAAAATGTTTTGTCCAAAACTTTAATTAATAATTATACCACTAATAAATATTCACAATACAAGTATTATTATAGACAAATGAAGAATCATACAAAGTTTTGATTTATGTTGGTTTTGAGTGAGTTTACATTTAATTTATGAAGAGTTAAAACTATAATTTATAAGGACTATTTAATTTATTCAAATAAATAAATAAATATATATATATATTTTTTTTTCTTTTTTTCTTCAATGGACGTTTTGAGTTGGCCTTCGTCCACAACGGAAGGTCTATAATCAGTCAACCATTGTTACCCACCTGGAACAAAGTAAAGAAGCTGACAAGTGTGTACAGAACGAACTAACCAAAGCCCAAATAAATCGACGATTTGCAATTTGCACGTATCCTCTGTTACGCCACCAAAATGATCCATTTCTCGATCGAATCATCACGTGAGATGAGAAATGGATTCTGTACGATAACAGGACGCGTAAAGGTTGGGCAAGGATGAAGCGCCAAAACACTTCCCGAAACCAAATCTGCAACCAAAAGAGTTATGGTGACTGTTTTATGGTGCACTTCTGGGGTTGTACACTATAATTACCTTGATTATGGTGAAACTATCAATGCCTTCGTCCAGCATTGGTAAGGGACCGAGTGAGTCTTCCTCACAATAACGCCAGGCAACATGTCGCAATGCCAACTCTGCGGAAACTTAAGGATTTACAATATGATACCTTACCGCACTTTCCATATTCACCCGACCTTTCGCCTGCAGACTTCCACTTTTTTAAGCATTTGGATCACTTCTTGAGGGATAAAATTTGTAGAGTACGCGGCACAGATGTATTTATTTACACGTTAGCAAAGATGAATAGATTGTGATGGAAAATATTTCGAATAAATTTTCTTTATGTTATAAAAATTAAAAACAGTTTTGACTGCTTTTTCAAAACCTGCATTATTTTTGCATCAGCCTAAAATATCTTTACGGAAATGGGACTGCTTTTTTATTCAAAAAGTTCCCGGAGATTTTAATGTGCATCACCCTGCATTTGGCTCAGAATGGTTTCACCGTAAAGGGAGAGATTTTTTAAAAGCTCTAAATAATAGGGACATCGTTTTTGTTAACGATGGCTCCGCTACAAGAGTTATAACACCTTTGAGATATTGAAAACTCCGTTATGGAGTTGTGCGGGAAAGTGATTCCCAAATGGAGAAACATCCAGAAATTTTTCAAATGTCGTGTAATCTATTTGATTCTCAGCGACAAATGAAATGGCCACGGAGAGCTTCAATGAAGTATACTTCATTTTGCTTATTACATCTATTAGTTTTCGTCCGATTGACCAAATAAATTCTTTTCAATTAATTCATCTTTATTAAGTTTTTGGTTGAGATAAAAAAATGAAAAATGGCAAAAAGGAGGAAAAATTCAAAAGATGCGGTGAGATGGGAAGTTGGTGTCCAAGTGGATCGAAGACACGATAGCTCAAGTGGTAGAGAAGCGGCGTATTTACCCGAAGGTCGTGGGTTCGAATCCCGCTCGTGAAACCGACTTTTTTATCTCAACCAAAACCTTAATTAAAGATTAATTAATTGAAAAAAATAAATTGCTATGTTAAATGTCGAACATGATTAGGAATAGCGAGAGTTATTGTATTTCTTTGTATAAGACCAAAATTTGCTAGGATCATTACAAGTAGAATCTTCAGTAGATTTAATATATTCACTATGGCATTTTTTTTACGAGGTTATATGAACCCTTGGGGTGCCGATGTTTAAAAAGAAAACATTTATAAGTATGTCGGGTTCGAATACAGGGCCGCTGTATTGGAACCCGGTACCCTTGCCTTATAGTGATAGCGGCGAGTCAACGACTAAACCGTTGCAGCCACCGACGCAACCCCCCCCCAACATTTGATTTTTACAGCTGGATCTAAGCTTGATGGTTCTGTAGGTTGTGACTTCTATGATGTTCGGAATGGATATAATGAACAGTACCTCCTGCCATCTCTATGCAGTTCATTCACGGCTGAAGAGATGGCTATTTAAAAAGCACTAGAATACAGGTTTACAATAAGTTCGACAAAAATTTGCATAATTTTGGCCGGAGGAAAGCTGGTTTAAGACACTCCCGGTACCGGAACCCGAATGATAGAATAACCACCGGTCTTGGACCCATCAGTGAAAACCAGACTAAAACCTGCATATCTATTTCTAAATTCAAGGAACTGAGCTTTTTAGAGGTATGGCGGAAAACACGATTGTTAGTTCGTCGCGGACGAGTACGGGCGAAAAGGTCCATGGGGTGTCGGCCGGTCGCCCAGCCGAAGCACCGTCCCCAGCGCCAGTACGGCCCACCCTAAGACTTCATCAAAGCGAATCGTAAGCAACCTTCCAGGCTCTCATACACCATTGCATGTCGGAGGATGTCCAGGCCCCCTGTCGGTACGCCACCACCAATACACAGGTCGAGGATGGCGACTAAGGGCCGCGGAACCCGAAGATAACAAACGCTAAGTACTGCCCACAAAACACTACACATACAGAATACAATCCTCATCTGGAAGGGGGAGGGGTCTTCCGGTCACTGTGGGTGTCCATGAACTCTGCTCCTGTGACAATATCGAAGGAAAACTGAGTTATACGGCATTCCCGGGCCGCGAGGAAGTTCAGGTACCCGAACTCTATGCTATCACCTCGTGTGTAATGTGATGCCTAGTACTGCCAGCTGGCGACTGGATGGTTACCGTGCATGTCGGCAGGTCATGAGGGACCTGAGGCCACGCAGGTTGAGGGCAGAGCGGAGAAGCACTCGAATAGGCCGGGCGATCGGCTCCAAAGGTTGAGGATTGCACTCACATTGCACACATACAAACTTATAGGCAAAAAACCCTGAATATGATGAATATTGAGAAAAAACGTATACAATGAGAAAAGTGCTTACTCCGCCTAACCCGGGCCTGATGTTTCTATTAGCTTTCTGATCGCAATTTGGGCTTTACGTGAGAGGTTCTCCGTAGACCCTCTCGTCGTGCTCTTGATAGAAAGAGATGCTGACCTGGAGTGCCTCGGAAAAACGGTGGTAGTTGTCTGGGTTCCTGAACACATCGGTCTGGATGTAACGAACTTCAGACTCGGCGGCAAAAGCCGGAACGTCACACTCTCCCGACCGCACCATCGCGATCAGGCCCTCTGAATATGAGCGAGCCGTATAAACAATGATAAGGGAGAGATGACGGCGTCAGTGGGGGATCGTCCGAAACTCTCTTACCTGTTAGAGTAGATGACCCTCCAGTGGGGGGGGGGGTAGATGGCCCTCCGATGGCCTGTACCGGAAACAAGTAATAGCCCTTGCCTGGATAAGAATAGGCCATTCTCGATTGATACACGGGTACTTGCTCGTGGTCCAACCCCTCGCACAGTTGTCCCCTATGCATAGAAATGTCGCACGATGTGTCCCACATAATTGAATCGTGTCATGCCTTATCCCCTAGTGTGGAATGGCCATGCCGCCAGATATAAAAGGGGTTCTCGGGCACAGTAGTGAGTTTCAGGGTCCGCTCATCTGCATTTTAGGAAAATGGGAATTTTTTTATTGTATATAACCGTCAACATATGTGTTTTGCATAAGTGAGTGTATTTATCAGTGTGAATGGGGAGGGGCTGATGGTGAAACAGCATCTCCATCAACCTTCCAGCTTTGTGCGACTTGAGTCGAAAGCGGAATATTTATAAAAGTACTCCATTGACCCCAGTTAGATTAGTTTGTTGTTGTTTGTAGGTAGGTGGAGGAATATTGTGTACGCCATCTACTAAACAGAATGAGCGCGATGTACATAGGTGTGAATGTATTTATTCGTGTGGATGCATATTGAATGTGTGTTGTTATATTTCGCACGCGCTCGGGGCTGAAATGACCTAGCTGCCGAATGCCCCTGTAATAAAAAACCAAAAAACAACAATACTTTATTCATTATTTCAACATTTTACAATATAATCGGTTGGATTCGTCGAGGAGTTGTGAAGAATGAGCTAGTTTTGAAAAACAATATTTTAATTTTTTTATGGCGTTTCGATTTATGTTTTAATCGGGTCATCTTCAGGGCCTGGGTGAATTACAACCATATATTAATTGGGAAAAATACAATACAGATGTAAATATAAAAGCTGAACATACTCACATAAAATATTCTAGTGGTGTCATACTGGTGTAGTGTGAAATTGTTGTGATACGTGAATTTGTATTCTGCTGTTTTTATATGATTGTGACAGGGTGGGGACGCAGATACAAAATACGAAACTCGGCCAACACAGTGCACTCCGCAACAAAATGAAAAACTTTTTTGTCTTCCAACCTCCCTCCATGGAATACGATTTAAATACATTTGTTCACACCTTAGTTTTAACAACCAACGGAGGTCAAATAGTGTAAGGGTGTGGTTACTTCTTTGAGCAATCACTAGGATGGATTGTGGATAACGGGTTCAAAACTTTGTATAACAAAATACGTTCCGATAATCATGCTTGATGTAAACAGGCTTCTTTGTGAGTTAGCTTAGCTCTTTCTAATATTATAGTGATCCGTTCTGGCCAGCTGCCAACATTGTTCAGCGTTAAGCAAAAATTTGCTAACAAGCTATTTAAGACAACCAAGGTTTGGTTGAGGAGTTGGTGTGCGAGTGGATTGAAGTCACGGTAGCTCAAGTGGTAGAGCAACGGCGTATTGAGCCGGATCCCGCTTGTGACACTAGCATTTTTATCTCAACCAAGACCTTAGGTTAAAAATATAAATAATAAAAATAACAATGTTTTCGATGTTTTAGAGAAGTCTGCTGCGTTGGATTCGGAGCCGAGTTGGTTTGCAGTTACACTTCCGGGTTGTCGCCGAGGCAAAGGGAACTTTGCAAGTCTGCCCCGGAGGCTTTCCTGGCTCTAGCACAGGGCCTCAAACTGGGCCTCGCCGAATGCCAGTACCAGTTCAGGTACCACAGATGGAACTGCAGTACCGTCGCCAAGGGGCGATCTTTCGGTCAGATCGTCATACTAGGTAAAATTATGTATATTAATTACGGTTTTTTAACCACAATCTCTACTTTCAAACATTGTAAACATTATTTTTTCTGGCGTACATCGACAACGCTGTACTAAGAACGAAATTCTTTTGAATGCAGTGTATATGTTGTTGCATATCTTAGCGGGACTGAGGGTCTGTCTTTTCTTCTTATATTGCCATTAATGCGAGTGACCCCAGGGGAGCATCCTAGAACCCCTCCTTTTCCAAATATACGCAACTAATATTCCTACACCACCTAACAATATTATATGCTCCATTATTGACGTCACAGCTATCCTGTCAGATAATAGTGATTTTTACTTATCTAGTCATAACACCCAACATCATTTAACTCTTGAGATGGATAAAAATTGATAAAACTAAATCTACCGTCGTCCCAAGTCCATCAGATCGGATCGCAGCTTTATGGCAAGAGCGGGGGGAGTTTCGAGATATCAAGGCTTATCGCAAGGAAGTAACTTAGGATTAATTCTATACACAGTTTACACAACCAACATACCTATTTTCAATGTTGTAAGTATTTTACACTTTTTCACTCATAAATATTCTGGATAAAGTATGGTCTTGAAGAAAAAAGCAAATTCAGTTGTTACTGGCAAGCTTTCGACCTATTTTAAGGTCATCATCAGCGCAAAACAATCGTGAATATTTCTACAGATTGACATATTTAAATTTTTTACATGCGATCTCAAATTACCTTGGGACCCACTCAGTCCTAACATTACCAAGGCACAGCAGGACTGAGTCGGTCTTCAAGGAAATTTGGGATCGCCATTAAAACACATAAATTTGTCCATCTATAGAAGTCTGTAAGATTGTTTTCCCCTGATGGTACTAAAGTTGATCCAAAGCTTGGCTGTAGCAAGTAAATTTGCTTTTTTTTCAAGACTATACCTTGACCCAGATTTTCGTGAACATACGTGTTTACACAAAATACAAACTTTGCGGACGACACTGCAATCCGTGCAAAACTCACTCTCTGACTTTATGGCAGCAGAAGAAACCCGAGAATACCTCCACCTCACACCAGGAACTCAGTGGCACATTAAACACCAATGTACATATAACCAATAAGGTAATCCCACCTTTTGCTACCTTGGGTTCTGCATGAACAAACAGCAGAATTAAATGAAACCCACATACTTAAATTAAAGGACAAAAATTTAACCTGTACTCACACTCTTACATCGACTTAAGTTCGTAGTACAAACAATCCAATTCTTTCAAACGAAAGTCTTTTTTCTATACTCAAAGCTCGATCAAACTATGTACCCTAGACAATTTTAAGGATCTAATCCACCACACCTAGGCAGTCTTTTCTTCTTATATTGCCACGCCAAAGCGTGTCCCCCCCAGGGGAGCCTCCAAGGGTCCCTTCCCCTTTACAACCGACATTACTCTTCTTCCTAAATATTATATGCTCTTTTGACTGAAAACACAGCCATTGAGTTTTTAATTTTGATCCTTCCATAGCTAGTCATAACATAGGTAGGTTACAATCCTCCGTCACATCCTTACGTCTCTAACCAAACTGATGTGTGTAAAATAGGCCGTGTAAGAAAAAAAATGTAGAAAGAAAAGAGGGAGAAAAATGCAAATAGAGAGAGAGAGAGAGAGAGAGAGAGAGAGAGAGAGAGAGAGAGAGAGAGAGAGAGAGAGAAAGAGAGAGAGAGTGGAAAGGTAAATGGTAAAAATTCACTGAAAGAATGAAAGGAATTTTTCTCAATCCTAGCACTGGTGTACTACAGGTACAGTAAAAGATGTAATACCTTTTATACCCTCCTTTCTTTTTATTTACTACTATGACATGTCCTCCCTGCATCTCATTGGTGACGATCTAACAACCAACCATCCTGCATGCTGCCTACGAAGATGGGGCCTTTTGACCTTTCTATAACCCTATACCATTCTTCCTAAATCCTAAGAGTTTCAGCAATGGACTGGAAGTTGAGGAAGTGGAGAGGCTCTCCGCAACTACCTCAAACAGGAGGAAATTAATTGAAATTACGGTAGGTATAAGGTAGGGTTAACATTTACAAGATGTTAAAGTTGCCCTTTTGAATGTTGAACTTTGAAGCTAAATCTCTGTTAATAAAACAAACTTTACTGGCTAAAAGCTGCATTAAAATTATTTAATCACTTTGGTAGAGAAAAAATCTATCATGGCTAAATGATGAACAAAAGAAACTGAAATTGTTGATTAATTCATCAGGACAATTAAAATTCTTCTAGAAAGAATTAGTACTAAACAAAATACGAATTGATTTTTTCGCGTTAACAATTTTTTAGTACCGATAGTAGTTTTGTCACCAAGCTTTGTGGCATCAGGTCAGTTTCAAACAATAAATCATTGTAAATTTATTTACCGACTTTTGACTACTATACCGCCATAAATAATTCTTTGCCTAACACAGTGACTATACGTTCATAAAGATCGAAGGTCATCTCAAATCGCATTTATGGGAGCCGGGACGGAAGACAAAAGTACTTATGAAATTTTTATAATGAACAAGGAGATTAGCTGTTGAAAAAGCTTAGGACACTTAAAGCTATCTAAAACGGGAGAGAGAGTGAGCGTGTTTTAAAGAAAAAGAGAGATGACAAAACTGATGAGTAATTTTGCTGATGGAAATTCTAAAAATTCCATTTACCAAACCTGTTTTTCTACTCCTTTTCAGAAATATCTCCAGTTTCACCAAATGGCTTGTTCCCCGTTTCATTAAAATTATTATTAGTAATTTTAATGGGTGAGGAATTAGGAACCTCTGTGGGTCGTTTTGCCCTTTTCGGAAGCCGGCAGAAAAGGTCCAATCTGGATTTTGATTTTTGGAGCTTTTAGGCTTTTCAGCCATGCGGTTCGTTTAGGTTTTTCCGTCGGCCTTTCCGATTTTCTATGGGCCATTGCCTACCTTATTTTCAATTAGGCTGTCAATCGGTGTGTAAATAATCCACACATAAATGCAGCGACCCACTGATTTAATACATAATTTAAATTATATATTAAACTATTTATATTATATAAAGAACATAAACCAAATTGGAATGCTGGTCGGTAAACTGGAAGTTTAACTTTGGCGGTCTGAAGATGGGCCATTGCGCCCGAACACGTACAATCCTTAATAAATCAGGTACCATGGAATACCTGGTTTCTATTTCCTCCATAAAAAATTCATCTTAAAGAAAAGTATCTAACCTTGGTCTTAACAATACTTTGATTACGACAGCTTTAACACGTTTCGGGTTACTAAATTTTTTTAGTACTTTACTAAAACTACTAACTTTTTTACTACTTTACTTTTTAACTTCAAATTAACCATTTTTTAACTTAGTAGTATGCACTGTACAAATTAAGACAGCTGCGGGGACCCTGTTAGCTGAAGCCAAATGAACTCACAACTTAAGTCATTTAATAAGCTGCAGGGTCCTCTCAGCTGTCTTAATCTCGGAGAACGAATACTCTGCAGGGATTAGAATTGGCGAGTAGGGCGGCAGGAATGCAATCATATGATAAAATCATTCCACAACCTCTTTAACATCAGCAGTTTTATTGACTCTGGCATTTTCCATAATTAGACATACGTTACATAATGAAAACCCATCGAGTTTTGTAGACAGCTCACGTTACAAACGCAAAAGAGTGGGCTGTTACCGGTATATATATTCATATTTTTTGATAAATTAATTTTACTTTTTTTTTAAATGTAGATAAATATTTTCGCAAATTCTAGCCCATAATTATTTTCTCCCCGAATAAAAAATCCCGAAAGGGACGATTATTAAACTGGGTGAAAAATTATTAATTTGACAGAATAGTTCTATCCTTATAAATCGCAAATACAAAGAAATTTTGTTTTACATGTTATTATTTATTATCACCTAAGTGTTTTTATTGTTTTCAAGAAAGGGTTAACTTGAAAATAAAAAAAGGTTTATGTGAGATTAAAGAGGGTTAATTTGATATTCAAAAGGGTTAATTTGGCGGACAAAAGCTCTCTATATGCTCTTCAATAATCATTTTTAAGTTTCCTATTTCCAATAAAAGGTTACTAGTCCATGGAAACCTCACCTCAGAGCAACACTGAGCCACCACGAACTAACACCTGAGCGTTTCTTTTCCTCGGCGCACCACATGTAATTTCGACTTGAAGATCTAAGACCTACTTATGGTATGACGACTAACTTGGAAAGGATCAGGATTTATGATAGGATTGCTGTATCATCAGCAAAAGAGTATGTAATATTGTTAGGGAGAATAGGAATGTCGTTTGTAAATAGGAAGGGTCCTAGTATGTTCCCCTGTGGTACACTTGCTTTAATAGAATATAGAGTCGCCTGAAAGTAGTGAAAGTCCTTGAGCTTCCAAAACCTTGCTGCCACGATCGAACGCTTTGAGCCGTCCAAATAAATACGAGGCCAGCTCCTCTCCTTATAGCTCTATCTACTGCCGGTTATTTTGTAATCCTAACTGTCTACACTCTCCAAGTCTCATAGTTTTTATTTGTTCTTTGGTGTGTTATTATTTATTAATATAAAGAACTGCTGGAGTCTTGGATGTCTTAATTATTTTGCTTTATTTAATGCACCAGGGTACTGAATTAAGGCGTGTTTTAATCGGTATTCTAACCATCGTATAATGCAGCACTGATTGGGCTTTTAAAATTTGGACGGGCCGGCAAGGCTCGGTACACGTTCATCTAATCTTTCGTGTTTTAAGCAATTATTGGGTCTCGTTTACATAATTGCTTGATTTCTTGCTTTTATTCCTTCGAACTTATCATAAAAATGAAAATTACATATTAGATTGAGTAGTTTTACTAGCGGTTCCGGGAGCTTCTACTACAACGAAGCTTTTTTTAATGAAATGAATAATGCAAGAAATGATTTTATGGAACTGGGTAGGGATAAAAAAAGAAGAGTAGCCGAGCACCACGATGCACTGCATTACACGACCAAGGAGAGCTTTAGGTAGAAAA